TTCCAAGCAGAGCTGAGGCTTTCCCTGAATGGCTCCTGTTCACTGCAAGACGAGAAAGTGAACCCAGAGGAAGATATGACTGTAACAGGTCTTCCCTGAAGAGCGTCTCGCGTCCGAGTCTTCCTTCTGTAACGTACATGCTGCACGAGCGAGGCCTTTATAAACTGAAGTACCCCGAGCGACACACACCCGTGATTTCTCTCTCACGCCCCACAGCAAAGCTCCTTTATCCCTTCTGTCCAGTCACTCAGGACCCACATGTGGCTTTAGGGGTCCCCTGTCCCTATACCACTCTGGAAGAAAGAGACGATGTTTTTTATCTCATGATTAAGGATTCCCGGTGTTACCTCCACCCAAGACGTGCACAATAGGTGAGGGTCTGGTTCTCAGGGAGGTCCGTCTAGAAATACTGGCACAGCCAAGGCCGAGGCTCTGTGCTTATTCTGTGTCTCTGAGATGGTGGCAGCTGCGAGCTGCAGATACCATCTGCTGAAGGCAGATGCCTAGTTAACTGTGCTATTCTTGGTTTCTTCACAGTCCGTAGTTTCGACCAATCTCACCCCTACTCTGCTACCCCCACTCACTGTCCCCAATGCAGCCACACACATGAAATTGACCACGGGTCCCCTTGGTATAGCTCTCCACCTTAACTGGTACTCTCACCTAGCATGGCTGTGCTCCCTCGCAGTGTTGGCTTTCCATGAGAAGCATGTGGAAAGGCACTGACCCCAGCAGTAAACGCATGTGTGTTAGACATCTTGCACAGTTACACAACGCCTGAGAAAATCAACTTCATGGGGCAAAAGGCTCGTTGTGGCTCACCTTATTAGAGCTCCATGTTTGCTTGACCCCAGAACTCTGCACCAGTAGCAGCACAGAACATGGTGACGGGAGATCGGGCTTAGCAAATCTATCTCACCTCACGGTGGCCAAGAAGCAAGGTGAAAGCAGGCGAGGCCAGGGCTCTAGGATCTCCTGCAGGGGCATATCTCCATTGACCTAACATTGGGCCCTCTCTGCTAAGGGGCTGCCTCCTCCCAAGACCATGAAGCTGAGAACCGAGCCTTCTACACAAGCATGTCACTGAGGGCATTTCAAGTCCAAACCACAGCAGTTTAGGACAATATACCAAAGTCTACTGTTGAAATATTGCTGTGCTTGCTGCATGTACCAGGGATTTTGTAGACTGTCACTGGCCCCATTGAACCTCATTCACCACTGGGAATCAGAGAAAATCCACTGGGCTGACACTGATCTTACATTTTCTGAGGAAATAAATTTGCTAAGGAAATAAAGAGTAGAAATAATATTTTAATGGTGGCCTTTAAATGACCTAGGAAAAGATTTCTAAGAACGATGGAGCTTTGACTGATACACTGACAAGTTACTTTGTACGTATGCACTAAAAAGACAGACTGAAAAGACAGTCATCCTCATCCCTACCTCCCCATCAGTATCCCCTTCCCTGCCTTCCCATCAGCATCTCCTTCCCTGCCTCCCCATCAGCATCCCCTTCCCTTCCTCCCCATCCTCATCCCCTTCCCTACCTCCCCATCAGTATCCCCTTCCCTGCCTCCCCATCAGCATCCCCTTCCCTACCTCCCCATCAGCATCCCCTTCCCTTCCTCCCCATCAGCATCCCCTTCCTGGCCCCCACTTCTGCACAGCTACCTGCAGCCTCCATACCACCCTTTTGATTTCAAAGTGGATCACTCTCCCACATCAGTCAACTTTTGGCCCCTCCTCCCTTTTATTCTATCCAGGCTTTCGCTAGTAATGCCATCCTGGGACTACAAGACCCCTGTCTAGCTTCATTTTAAATCCCACATCCCCCAGTGATTCAACAATCTGCTGCCCAAATGCCATTCTGGGTTTTCCAGAAGCATCCCCAACTCATTCCAGATCTTTAAGATCTTCAACTGGAGCTCCATCTCTTTGTTTTTAGCACTGAACCAGTGAGCAGGAGTGTGAACTGAACATGTCTACGTGATACCCTGGGGTCCAGGTGTATTTTGAGATTCACAGTTCCCTGCTTTCAGGATGGTGAGGTGGTGCAAACCACTGTGTGGTGTCCCAGGGCAGCAAGAGAGCCAGACTTCACTACCTGACACTTCAGTAACAAAACACAGGAACTCCTTTGTCATATGCAAATAGACTCTCACTAAACCTAGGGGAGAAGACTTAAAAGTCCTTCATTCAGGGGGCTGGAGAGAAGGTTCAGTGGTTAAGAGCACGGGCTGCTCTTCCAGAGGACCCATGTTCAATTCCCAGCACCCACACGGCAGCTCACAACTGTCTATAACTCTTGTTCCTGGGGATCTGACACCCTCACACAGACATAAATGCAGGCAAAACACCAATGAACAAAAAACAAAAATAAAAAATCATTTAAAAAATAGTTCATTCAGAAACTCTGGTTCATGGCTATGATTGTTATCTCCTATTTTCAGCTTGACTAGGCTAAACCCCTTGAGAGGCAGTGAGACACTTTATGGGGAAAAGCACCTGCTCCCAAGCTCGTGACCCGAGTTTGATCCCTGTGACCCACACAGTTGCCTTCCATCCCCTGTGTGCGTGGGGCATGAGAGAGGCAGACTATCAGGACTAGAGCAGAGAAGGTTAGCTGAGGAGTTGGTGCCCACCTTGAACGTTAGTCACCAATCTCTCACAGTCTGGCAGTTGAACTGAGTAAAAAGGAAAAAAGAGAGAAAGCTGAGCATGGAGTTCCTGTCCCTATTTTCAGCAGGCATTACGGACCATGCTGCTCCTAGCACCCGGCCCTCCCTCTGCTCCATGATGGCTGTGTCCTCTGGACCATGAGTCAAACAAGCCTCTCCAGGGAGGCTTCTGTGTCTCTCCGAGCGGCACGGCGGGCCCAGGGAGCTGGCCCAAGGATACAGTGGCCATTTGGGCAGACTGAAGGAAGTATGTTTCCCTTCAGTGTCTCTGCACCACAAACTCTGGTTTCTTCATGTTGGTCTTCCCAAGTCAGTGGGCCACCGGGGCTCTTGCCAGTACTTGTCTTTAGTGAGGAGAACTTCGGATTGCTTGTCCCTGGCAATTTAAATCTTTCCATTTTAACTCTGTCTCCGAAGTATTTTCTCCTTCCATACCAAAAGCCAAATTCCTCATTGACTTAGGCATAATGTTTACACATGGGGATCGCTTGGTTTCTGGGTGCCTACAGGAGGGCTCTGTTCAACAGCAGGTTGGTTATTCCTTGTGAGGGTTGGTTTGCATGTTTAAAATCTCAGTGACATTTACCCCATCTCACCCCAAATAAGAGCTAGCTTTAAAAGAGTGAGTTTATTTAACATATAATGTAAAACTATCACCACAGAACACCCCCACATGTATAACACAGTTAAACAGCCTCTGGTTTGTCTCCTCCAAACTCCTCCAATGAAAAAATGTCTTAAACACAGCTAAACCAGTTGTGACGCCAGCAACATGGGTATGTATGTGTATGTATATGTATATATTCATGGGATATTAGCTTTATGGATTACAGCACTCTGACAGGTAATTCCTGGGCAGTTATTCTGACATTAGAAAGTCACAATCCATCAACTTAACAGTAGGGCAATAATTTTGGGGACCAGGGTGACAGCTTTTCAAACAACTGTAGAAAGCAAACAGTAGCTCCAAGACACCCTGTCTGAGAAGGAAGATAAAAAACTAAGCAAATGTCCCTTCATCCCTAGACCCAACCATGACATCATGTCTTCCTGCGTGAACATGTTCCCTCCAGATATGGAGCAGAAATGCTCCGTCCACAGAGTCAAAGAAAATGCTGGGGATTAGGTTCTGCTTGGTAGTCTGGAGGTGGGTCTGCCATTGCTAGATTAAGAAGTGACTGTCCCCTCACATGGCACACACTGACACTCACAAGCACTTCAGAAGTCATGAGACTCTCTCCTAACTTACTCAGCTCTCAACAGTCTACGAAGCAGGGCTCCTGGGGTGTGGAGGTCCTTGGATTTGATTCTGGAAAAGGTTATAGGACCACTAGCCCTGTTTGAAGCCCTTCCTGCATGCACACACACACACACACACACACACACACACACGCATGCGCGTGTGCACACGTGCAGGCATGCACGCATACACCACAGCTGTGCCCCATAAAAGGACAACACAGTTTCTCTTTTACTCTAGGAAAGGGGAGTGAAGGATAGGTGGAATATACATGTTGGTGGCTGAGGTTACCAGGAGGGTCAGATGCATGGCTGTAATAGGTGCTGGGCTAAGAGAGACGGAATTCCGGGAGGCCGGAGGCCAGGCCCCCTGGAGGACTGAGTCCCTTCTAAGGACAATGGTGTTTGTGGAGGTCACAGGCTGCAGTGCTTAGATCTCACCCTAGCCTCTCCCAGTGCTCACTGCCTTCCTGAAATACTGACAACATATACAAGGGAATTTCATCCAGGTTAAACACTTTCCATGTGTGTGTGCCTGTGTGTCTATGTGTCTGTCTGTGTGTACACACACGTGTGTGGAAGGCAGAGCTCAACACTGGGTATCTATTCTCGTCCTTACTTTTGACACAGTGTCTTTCATGGACCTGAAGCTTGAGTTTGGCTAGGGCGGCTGCCCAGTGGCCCCAGGGCCTGCTGTACTGTTTCTGCCATCGTGGGATTATAGGGGAGCAGTGTGGCTTGGGATAGGTGTAAGCTGGATGCACATAATAGTGCATCGAGCATTTCAGCTACCGAACCGTCTCCCCGCCCTGATAATTCTCTATTTTAAAGAAAAAGAAATGCACTACATGGACAAAGTAACAGCAAGGAAGAGATTATGGGATCTTAAAACAGAGATAAAAGAGTTACATAGCATGCACTTATTTTAGTAAACTTTTGTGGCGTCCCAAAGGCATTTCCCCTCTTTTCTAAGACCCGTCTGCACAGGAATAGCTGCGACGCCTCAGCCACGAGCATCTGGAAACACTGCAGAAAAGCCTTTCACAAGCACCGGAGGACGGAAGCCCGACAACGCGTCCTTACCTGGAGCTGGTATTCTTCCATGTGGCGCAGCTTCTCCAGGCATCAGATCTTTTGAATTGGAGGTGAATGGTGATTGTCTAAATGTGTCTTCTGAAAAGAAAGGGCTGGGGTAGGAGAGGAGCAAGGTTTAGTAAATTAAAGTTATTTAGGACACCCAGTGCATCTGGCTCCAAACAAACACACACAATATTGGAAAGACCAGAGCTTTCTCAATGACTTTTAAGAAATATAAATAAGAGTATGCTTGTGACCGAGGAAGAGAGGGCAGGTTTTCTCAGATGAACATCACTCAGGCATTACTTTTATACCAAAGGTCCACTAATAAAACATCACCCTTACAAAAAAATTTTTTTATTTGTGTGCGCGCGCGTGTGTGTGTGTGTATGTACATGTGTGTGCGCGCACGTGCATGCATATGGAGGCCAGAAGAGAGTGTGGGACGCAGTGGAGCTGAAGTCAGGTAACCACATGACGTCATGTCAGTGAGCTGTCTGACATGGGTGTTGGGACCAAACCCGAGTCCTCTGCAAAAGCAGCAAGCATTCGTAAGCACTGAGCCTCACTCCAGCCCTTAAGACATCACATTGGAAACATAGAGAAACTCAAGCCCAGGGCCATCTCAGTGGCTGCATGTATATTTCCTTGCTAACGTGCTTTCTCGGCACAAATTAAGATCACTACTGACCCCGAATCAGAAAAAACTTCTCTGTTTGCTCCAGTGGAGGAGATGGACACTGCTTGTTCCATAATCTGTCACCTGACCCCTCGGAGACCAACAGCACACATGGGAGGCACACCAGACTGGGGCCTGGGGCCACTACACTGCAGGCAACAACTGGCTGGGCCCAAAGAAAATGCAGCTCAAGCCGGAACTGGAAAGGTTCTGTAGGAACCCCCGGGCTGAGCCTACATGATACAAGCTGGGGGCCAGATAAGCCTGAAGCTGTAGCAGAAGCCTGTACCCAGAAGCACTCTCTCCCAGCTCTACCCCTGCCTCCCAGGAGGGCCTGGGATTGGCCAGCCCTTCCCAGAAAGCAGGGTGACTGCAGCTTGAAGGCACAGGACACAGAACAGACCCCAGGGCACGAGAAGCCCACACCTGGCTGCCTTTCTAGGTATGGCCCTAGACTACAGTTACAACAATTAGATAAATGTCAAGGGGATGGCATTAGGATAGAAGTGGGAGGGAGCATTTTCATAAAGGGAAGCACACATCAATGGGCAATGGGGTTCCAACATCGCTGTGAGGCTCCACGGACCATGGCTCTGCCTGGGACACTTGGAATTTGTGTCATAAGCAGTAAGCAATCTAATCGGGTTTTTAAAGTGCACAAGCTGTGGCTCACTCCACGGACACAGGAAAGGAAGTCTTACACCAACAGCCACACGGGCTACAAGTGACAGAAACACCTGTTGGCTGGGTGCCTGTACTCCAGAACTGAAGCTCTAGTCACGCCAGTACAGTGGTGTGACCTCGCACACAGTCCTTAACTTCACAGGCCTCCATTTCTCCTCTATCAACAGGAGGTGTGAGGATCGAACAGATGTCCATGGGCTGTGTTTTGCATGGTGCCAGTGTATACAGCAGGTGCTCAATAAGTGAGAAATTTAAAAAAAATGTGTAGCCCAAAGGAGAACAAATTAATCAACTTTTCCATTCAAGTTAACAAACAGGGAAGTCCCCTTTGCATAGAACTCATTACACAAAACAAAGGAAAAGCCCTTCTGATTTGGAGGTCTTAGTTAGCTGTGGGGATCAGGATAGTATCCAGTTCTTGTACGAGGAAGACTGCTAAGGGTCTAAGGACGTTTAAGGAGTGAGGGATACTGCTGGTCAGACATGAGGCATGAAGGTTCCTGATGCCAGGCAGGGCTGGGCTGAAGTCCATCAAGAGAGATGAGACTCTGGGCTCCATCCCCATTAACACACATGCACACACACACACACACACACACACACACACGCACACACAAGTCCCATGTCATTAACTCTGACGTTCACACACAGAGTGACACTGCCTCAGGAAAGGTGAGCAGGCCATCGTCCATCATGTTATTATGGCTCTGTCTGCAGAAACTACCTTTATTTATTTGTTCATTCATTCATTCCCGTTTTTTTTTTCCCAAGACAGGGCTTCTCTGTATAGCCCTGGCTGTCCTGGAACTCACTCAGTAGACCAGACTTGAGCTCACAGAGATCTGTCTGCCTGAGCCTCCTGAGTGCTGGGATTAAAGGAGTGCACCACCACCTCCCTGCTTATTTACTTATCTTTGAGACAGGCTCTTCAGGCTGACCATGAACTTGTTCCATGGCCAAGGATGATCTTCCTGCCTCTGTCTCCCAGGTGTTGACATTGCAAGCCTGTGACACCACAGCTGGCTGAGCCACCTTGAAATAGGAGGACTCGGAGGACCTAGGAGAAACTTCCTTCTGGGGACCCTGAAATCCCAAGAGCAGCCCTTGAAGTGTGTTTAGAAATATCCGCACCACTGAGAACTGTGCCCCGCCCCCGCTTTTTACGGATAACCATTACAGATATGGCCAGAGATTGCCCTCAGTTTTCCAGCAGCTCCTTAGTGAGTGCCTGAGATGGGTGGGCCTGGGAACATGAGAGCCACACCCACCATGGTTTGAGAGATCAGGATGTGAGCACATCTGGATGAGAGGCACGTCCCAGCCATGAAGGACGAGACAGGGAGTGGGGCGAGTGGCTGAGTCGATGCAGGAGAAAGGCACTGGATGATGGGGGAGGCTGGCCTGGGCTAGGAGGCCCCAGATGATCTGAAGGAGGGTAGTGGTGCTGGGTTCCGAGAAGCCTGAGGACCATGGACTGGGGACAGCCAGCATGTGGAGTGGCAGGAAAGCCGCAGGGAGAGAGATGAGTGGGATTCCAGTGCTGGGAGCACGGCTTTGACCTGAGAACAGATGCGCTGCAGTGTCTTCAGCTAGAGGGGAGGGAGGCAGGGAAGGACTTTGGTTTCAATTACTGACAGAGACAGCCTGGCATGTGGCCACACCATGGTACATACGGGAAGTGGCGATGGGGGGGGGGGCAGTGCTGCAAGCCGGCAGAGGGCATGCGGATGGAAGAAGGCTTTAAGAAGGAGCAGAGACGACCACAGGGCTGTTGACACCTGGGAGAAGTGGGCACGGACTGCCACGCTCCACATGGGAAACAGCCACCCGGGTAATGCAGCTAGCTGTGCGGGGCACTGCTGCAGCTTGCCACCCTCTTCCACAGCCCAGGTCCCCGCGAGTGAGCAGTGCAGTCCTCGGAGGAAACCGAGTCAAAAAGAAAAAGTGATCTCGGCTCAAGGCCACTTCCAAGTTAAGTTTTCTATTCTTTATGCCAGCTTTATCCTGTGTAGAAGGAAAGATGTCTTTAGAGACAAGAGAATGTGAGGAGTGTCATGCCAAAACCAAAAATGCACCAAAAAGGAGCATCCATGTATTTATGAAGTCAGAGGATCAATGCAGAAATGCCTAGAAGTCACGGAAGTCAAGTTATTCATGAAGAGAAGCTAGTTTAACAGAGCACTAGTCCCAGGCTAGACCACTGCATTGACAGTATGAGCTTAAAGGACCGGGTAGGTTGACATCCATATTGGTCACTTAATTAAGCGACTTGTGTCAAATAATCCCTCCAGTCCAAGTTTCATCACTGTGGATGTGGTTCAGACCTCATCTTCCAGGGGTACCGTCAGGGCTTACTGAGGCTTACATAGCGCAGTTCTAGTACTTAGTGCACGCTCACGCTGTTTTGGGCATGGCTTCAGGCAGCCCCCGGAGGACCTGTGAGGACAGCCACCATTATGACATCCCTATTGTACAGATGATAGACTTCTTAGGGAAGGGGTGAGTTGTCCATGCTTGAGCTGAAGCGAAGTCTGAACCCATTGTCTGCCTTCTATCCTGAGCAACACGGACCCACAGGTCTTTCTCAGAATCCGTGTAAAGAAGGAACAAATGAGCGAGCGGTAGAGAGAGTCTCAGTATGCAGGTTGGTAGAGAGCAGGAGTAAGCTCTGGTTTTTTATAAGCTGCGAAGTCCAGGGAAGTGAAATTGACCTTAGTCAGTTTCTCTCTAAAACCTAAGCTGTGCCCCAGTTTTCTAAAACTTCCGCAGCCCCCGAGCCACGCCCTCCTATTCCCCCCGAGCCACGCCCTCCTATTGCCTCTGCAGGAAAGCTGCTCTCAGCTGGGCCTAGGTGAAGAGGGACGGCTAAGCAGGGCATGGTGGCTCATGCCTGTAATCTCAGCAACAGAAGATGACCTCAAGTTCCAGCCCAGCTTACTACATACATCCAGGCTAGCCCGCACTATAGAATGAGACCCTCTCAAACATATATAAAAAAAAAAAAAGGGAAAGGTTAGGTCTCCGGGGCACTGTGGCTATGAGCACCATCTTCACATCCTCACCATGCTGGAGCACCAGCCTCGAGGGCTTGGGACTCTAAGCAGAGGTAATCTTACTTTTGGCCGTGTGTCGAGAGCCAAACCCTACACTTAGAGCTTCCAGCTGCCCAGGGCAGAGGCTTGTGACATGCAGAATCCCAACGGCTCTCAATGGTGCTGGACTCTGGTGCTCAAAGCATCATGGTTAAGAGACGGTGAGGATGCAGTTCCTGCTTGGTGGGGGTTCCCCTGCCCCCACGGGGAGCAAAACAGAAGGGAAACAAGCCAGACTTTAGGATGGACAGGGAAGGAAGTTTGTACAGTCCTTGAGCCGGAAACCCAAGTTGGCTACAAATCATTCCAGAAAATGAGCCAGTCTGTGACTGTCACAGGGCCCTTGAGCCCGCTCTACAGCACCCTATCTATGAAGAGCTGTAGTGGCCCCCATAGGCTCATGGGCAGAGGCACTATTAGATGTGGCTTTGGTGGAATAGGTATGGTCTTGTTGGAGGAAGTGTGTCACTGTGGGGGTGGGCTCTGAGGGCTCATGTATGCTCAAGCCACGCCCAGTGTCAGCTTCCTATGGCTAGCGGGCCAAGATGTAGGACTCTCATCTCCCTCTGCAGCACATGTCACACCATGTCACACCATGTCACACCATGCCACACCATGCCACACCATGTCACACCATGCCACACCATGACAGTAA